AACAACGATCGGTCATGAATCTTCGGGTGTGGTTGTTGAAGTAGGAGATAATGTTCACAGTAATGGTTTCAAGACAGGTGATCGTGCTGTAGTATAGCCAATTTTTAGAAATCCAGATAATGTCTTTGCAAAAAGAGGTGAATATAATCGATCAGAGCCGATTGGTTTTATTGGTCTGACCGGAAATGGTGGATTTGCAAAATATGTCGTTGTGGAAGATTACATGGTACATAAAATATCGATACTGTCAGTTTTGAACAAGGTGCACTAGTGGAACGTGCTGCTGTAGCTGTGCATGCCGTTAAAACTAGTGGTTTACAACTAGGTATGTATCAGGATCCAACTGTTCAATCTTTTTCACTATGAAAACAACAATTTTCTGTAACAACAAAATATCAATAGAGGAAGAACTGATAAAGAAGAATAAATTATTTGTTTCTATTTTCTCTTGAAATAAGTAGATGGGTTCCAACTAAGAGAAGAGAGAAAGTTCACCGTCTGCATCGATGGTCAACTGCTGTCAAGGGGGAAAAAGTCATTCGGGCATTCCCTGGCATTCCCATCCATTCCTATCCATTCCTATCCATTTTCAGCCATTCCTATCCATTCCTATCCAATCCGAGCTATTCGGAATCTTCCACATCTATACCTAACTTTTGTAAATTACTGTTTTGCATCTTAAAGTTAGCTCGTTTCGTGAGCTTATTCCCTCAACTGAAGGGAGAGCCATATGAAATAAAATGGGCTTGTCTGTGTGTCTGTATGTTTGTGGCAGGTCAAAGGTTGTGGGATTAAAGAACATTATAAAGTTTGACCGAAGGTAATTCAGGGTCGAGGAATCCGAATCTGAAGTAGGTTGTTCAATATTTTCAGTTGAACTTTTCCGATGAATGAAATATTTTTTTGAGAAACTAACGGTATTTTGTAAAGATTGATAAAAGTAAATTAGAGTCGGGGAATCCGAATCTGCAGTCAGATTTTGAAAATTTCGAACTCGATTTTTTGGGCCAAGGAACTCTTTTTTTGAGAAACTAACGATATTTCATAAAGGTTGACGAAAGTAAATCGGGGTCGGGGAATCCGAATCTGTAGTCAGATTTTAAAAATTTTGTAAGTTACTTCCTTGACCTCTACGGCGAAACCTTTCCAGTTAGAATTCACCGAGAAGTTCAGTACAAAATTTTGAAAATCTGACTGCAGATTCGGATTCCCCGACCTCGATTTACTTTCGTCAACCTTTATGAAACATCGTTATTGTCTCGAAAAAAGATTTCCTTCATCGAGAACTGGTGAAAACCCGTAACCGCAGGTACGGTTATCGGTTTGGATCGGTGACGGTAGACCGGTGAATGATCTTCACCGTTGCATCCCTAATTGACACAGTTACTAGAACTAAAAATTGACGATTCTAGCAATACTAAGATGTTAAAATTCGAATTTAAAGTTATGAGAAAATTACACATTTCTATTCATTCCATAGCCATTCCGATCCATTCCTAGCCATTCGAATGGCTCGGAATGAGATTTTTCCCCCTTGACTGCTGTTTTCTTCTTCTCTCTTCTGTGAATCAAATAAGATAGGGAGAGTTCATCCGTTTTGTCATTCAGTTTATAAAACGATGACTGCTGATAATGGTGAATTCACAACGAAAAAACATTAGAAAAGTTTGACTCGGACTGATTCTAACTGATTTTCATCTAACCTGGACTGGGCTTAGACGGATGCTTTTATTAACAGATCGATCGAATACAATTTTGAGCTTTTTCTTTTACAGACAATCAGTAATCAACCCTGTGTAGAAAACTTTAAAAAAAAAAGTGAATTTGGACGGGCAGGCCGCTGACTTAGGCTATATTTAAAATAAAAGAACTTCTACTTGCCCATCTCTGGGTTTGAGACACTCAGTTTATAGAGCACTAAATTCTCTTTCAAATGAGATATGTTTCCACTCTTTACAATTTGCCCTCACCAGCTATAAACAGATTAAAGTTACAGCAAGAAATTAAAAATCAAGATTAGCAATTTTTTCTTGTTTGAAGGAAACTGGAAAAAAAGTGTTTTCTTTTAGAATGAGACGTCACTCAATTTATGTGAATGAGCTTTCCATGAGTTATATGCATTTTAAGAAAAGCACAATGTCTTCGGTACATTCCTCACTGTAAGCGCATCGATCAAACATGAATATTTGACATATCGTACAAATATTTTATAGTTATATAGAAGATAGCAATTCAACTCAAAGTCAACTCATTTCCATGGAAACAACTGAACCCACTTGAGTTTTACGTGCCACATAGTGTTTCAGTTTGAGTTCTTTCCATGGAAATATAAGGATTATTCTTAGAAACTTTCCCTTGATATTAACCGGTGGACCATTAAGAATAGGATATTTTTATTTTCTTTTTTTGAAGATCGAAAACACGTTTCAAAGACTTCATTCTCAGCTAATTTGGTAGAGAATGTTTGGCTCTACAAAACTGTCGAATTGGTTTTTCCAATGAATTGATTAAAACGGATTTTAGAAAACAATTCTGCCAAAATTTGAAATATACTACAAGATACTCGATAAAATTCTACATCTTTCTATCTTTCACAAATTTTGAGAACATATTGGGGACAATAGTATTGCAGTAAAAATGTGAAAACATCAAAAGGGATTCTTTTCTGAATATGAACGGTTTGTGTCCTCGTTTATTTTTTGATTGGAAATAATCTAATAATTTTAATTGTTCAATTTAAATGTTATATTATTTTGTTGAGTTTTAAATTTCGCTTCCAACAGTATAATAATGAACGTTTTATAGAGCATGTCTGACTTTTGAAAATACAAATTTCGAATGTGCATCCAAAAACAATTGCTGCGACAGATTCGTTCTGAATGTTTTATTTCTGAATGACATCATCAGAAGCCTTGAAGAGATCATCAAAGTATAAAGCATCGAATTCTATATTTGTTGATGTCAAATACTTCATATTTTGCGCTCGACTTGATGAATACAGGCTTATACAAATCGTCAGATGTCTGCAGAAAATAACAGGAGATCGCAATTACACAATAGGGTAGCTGTCAGTCTTTCCGATTCTGTGTCCATAAGAACAACTCATTGCAAAAACCAAGTCGATAGTTTTGTAGAGCTGAAAATTCTCTATCGAATGAGCTTGAAATGAAGTTTTTGAACTGTGTTTTTGATCTTCAAAGAAAGAAAATAAAAGTATCCCATTCTTGATGATCCACCCGGTAAACGTTAAACTAAGAATTCCAATAATGTATCCACCTCTCAAGGAATTCCTATTCGTATAAAATTATGAAACCGTATTTACAGTGGTTTGTTTCAGTCGTAAGGAAAAATCGAGTTATTTCTATAACTCCTGGGAAACTCGATCATACTGAAAAATTTCAAAATGACTGTAACTTACAAAAATCGAGAGATGATCATTTGGTAGAAATTTCAGGTCTGTATGATATTTTGTGACTGAACGGCAGAATCGTCGAAAAGAGGGAAACGGTAACCTTAAACTGAACATCACAACTTTTATTCACGTGAGTTGTCTTTTAAAAATGCTGTTTCATAGAGAAAAACTGAGCAAAGATCAAACTGTATGCAGGTATATTTACAATTCTACGCGAAACATGTGTAATTTTTGGTGCTGGTCCAATTGGTCTACTATGTCTTCAAGCTGCAATGGTTGCCGGTGTTGCCTATACCATCGTTGTGGGCATTGCAGAGAGATGTCTCGAGAAAGCATGTGAACTAGGTGCTACATTAATTATCAATGGCAAGGAGAAAAATATTTCACAACAAATTAAAACCTTTACTGGTGGTCTTGGTGTAGATGTTTATCTTGATGCAGCCGGTGTGCAATCGACGTTTACAACGGGTATTGAATCTTTGAAAACGGCGGTAGAGCTATATTGGTTGCATTATTTGGAAAACCAGTGACATTGGATGCTGTGGATCTTGTCCAGCGTGAAATAACTATTAAGGAAATTGTTTGCTATCGACATATATTTCCTGAGGTAATTAAACTTATTGAAAGTAAACAAATGGATGTTGAACAACTCATTACAAGAAAAATCAAGTTGGATGATATTGTTAAAGATGGATTTGAAGCTTCAGCGTCTGATCCATCGGAAATTAAAATTCTAATTGACCTTGGTTCTAATTAACACTTTCGTGGGTGTGAGTGCCGATGTGACTGTGAATGTGGCTGCGGTTGTAAGTTAAAAATAATAATTTACATCTGAACCCACATTCACATCCTGAAACATAGATGTTCTATTATTTGATTTCGTTACCATGGTTGATTGATTAACTGTTCTTGTAAAATATAATTAAATAAATGGTAGTCGAACAATAACGAGTATTTTTTTTCCTTAGATGTGATTGTGAATTTGATTCTTCTCTTCCCACCCAAAAATTCCCAACGACACTGCGTTTCCTAGATTTTATTCAAGGATCATTTTACAATTTCATTGGAAGGTAGGACGAACATCACTTGGTAGCATTAAAAAAAATTTGAAGAACCAGATGTATAAAAAGTTTGACTTGCTGTCTTCTGATACCCAAAAATAGCTTCAAATATACTGTCAAACATGAAACATGGTGGACTCGTAAATTGTGACCTGTCTCCCTCATATTAAACTACAAAGTCCGAATAAAAATATTCTATGCCATGATTTAAATAGCTCACTTTGTCGATTGTTGATGCTCTATCGCTTAATAGTTTGCATAACAAACTTCTCTGATTTGTAAAAGTCTTATCCTAATCAACGTTTATCTAGCGGTTATGAGTATTTTCTGATTAGTTGATTGATACTACTAGAGAATTGCGATAGGTTAACTTCACCACAGTACATCCAAATGAGTTAATAATTTGTATTTGGTGCTTTCATATGATGCTCTTCCCAAAATATTCTCCTGAATTCTTTCTTAAATATTAGAGTTAGGCAGGTATGCAATGTTTATTTTGAACTCTACACTGACTCATTCAACAGTTGAAGTACGGGCTCCTTTATTTACAACTTTGTCTTCTTTTGTGAATTCATTAAACTGACAAGTTTTTATGTTTATCAAGAAACATGCGAGCATTCTTTCTTATGCCTTATACAGCCAAAAAGCAAAGACAACAAAAGAGTTGTGTATCGTTAGATAATCGAAGTAAACTTCTCAACAGTTATCAGCCATACGGGAGACACTTTGTTAATACGAGTATAAAAAATTATTTGTTTGTTTGCTTCATATATGAGGCGAGTTTTCAGGAGATAAGAGGGGAAAGGTAAGAAAACAAGTTGCTATAGGCTTTTTCCTTCAAGAATATTTTACAACGTGCTTCATGCATATTTTGTAAACATGTAAAACATTTGTCGTGACAATATATATATATATATAAACCTTTTTTCGTTTAGATATGCAGTATTCAAATTAGCGATCGTGGTGCAAGAAGTCTTTCGTTCATTGACTGAAATATAACTATTTTGTATTTTATAGTCTGTAAAAATACGACGATTTCATGTAGGTGATAGTTTTACCCCGATCAGTTGTTCGTATCTAAAGAGAAAAAAATATCTTCATTTGGTTTTACTTGTGACAAAGCAATGTCTTAACTTCTTACAGAGCAAAGTGAAACACAAATTTACTTAAGAAGTATTTATTGTATTAGTGTATTGATGTCGTTTAGTAGATGTCTCATAATTGAGAAATAGTACTCAATATTGGAAACTTCTAAAACTTCATTTGTGGTGTTTTAGATCAAACTGGTTGAAGTGTTAAGCGTCGGGACAATTCACGACACTCGCGCGACAAAAGAAAATTACTTTTCAGCTAATTTTGTTCAGCATTTGAATACAAAATGTGGTAAATGCTTTGAATCGGTTTCGTCTTCAGGATAATGGTGCAATAAACGTAAAACATTCACTCATGATTGTTTTAATAGAATAACTATAGAATACATTTTCTTTTTTAGTGTAGA